AGAGAGAGAGAGAGAGAGGCAGAGACAGAGGCAGAGGGAGAAGCAGGCTCCATGCAGGGAGCCTGATGTGAGACTTGATTCCGGGACCTTGGGATCATGCCTTGAGCTGAAGGCAGATGCTCAACCACTGAGCCACCCAGGCGTCCCCCTAACTTAAGATTTAAAATAAGAAATAACATGCCATGAATGATCAATCAAAGTCAATTTTGCCATGTAGATTTGTAAATTTATCTTCTAGGAAAATTTATAAAGAAAATTGGGAACTCACTTCCCTTACATACATTTTCACAAAAATTCACAATACATTATTTCTTGTAGATTAAATCTTCAGGAAGCTTCAATCATATACAATGTGAAATCAAAGTAAAATAATTTGAATGTATGAAATAACTTGGTAGCTAAATCCCCATAAAATTCTGTGATCAGTTTTCAAATCACCTCTCAGACCAACTGGAATTGGAAATATAGAACATAGAGAAAATTATTTGAAAAGTTCACTTAACTAACACACAGAAACACACACACAGGCTAAAAATGATTAAAGACAATTTAGGTGATACAAATGAGTGCTTATTTAATGCCTCATGAAACAGACAGTCTCTCCCCAGAGCTCAGAGAACCACAAAATGGGGTGTGAGACAGGAAATTTGTACAGGATAAAGAATAAGGAGCAAGGATGAGAAAAATAGAAAATACATGATTGGCTGGGGCCACCTTGGTGGGAGTGAGAAGAAATAAGAAATAAGTATAGATCCCAGAGCTGGGTTAGCATTTGGAGATTGGATGCTTAAATATACTGCATTTCTGGTCAAGTGGAACATTTATAGGGACATGAAAATTACCTGTTTCAGCTTGTTTAGATGGTGCCAGGCAGAAGTAGCTCCATCTTAGGAAAGTAATTTAAACAGATATGCACACATATACATGTATTCAATCACATAAACCTGCTCTTGAAGAAGTCAAAGAAAAAAAAGTCAAAGATCAAGTACTGGTTAAGTACTGTTGTTAAGTACCAGTTAAATATTAGTGTTAAGCACGTATTCCTTAAGTACTATTGTTAAGTATTAGTTACAGACACTTAGAAAAGGTTTTTTTTTTTTTATTATATGAGCCAGGCTAAATATTGGGAAAATATAAAAATCTACCATTCACTTTATATATTTAAATTTAGAAAAATCATTTCAATATTAGTTAAAATGTGGTAATCTGATCTGATAACATGCGACCTATACGTTGTGTTGGCAGGGATATTCTAAAGCAAATGACAAGCAGGTATAGAGCAAGACTCAAATGGAATTTGAAATAGAACATGTAAATACTTATCTATGGGAAAGAAACAGGAAAATAGGGAATGGCAAGAATTAACACCTGACTTTTTTTTTCTTGGTGGCACGAGTCAGAAAGTTGAAATAGGATTTGTTTTTTTTGTTGTTTTTTTTTTTTATAAATTAATTTTTATTGGTGTTCAATTTACCAACATACAGAATAACACCCAGTGCTCATCCCGTCAAGTGTCCCCCTCTGTGCCCGTCACCCATTCACCCCCACCCCCCGCCCTCCTCCCCTTCCACCACCCCTAGTTCATTTCCCAGAGTTAGAAGTCTTTATGTTCTGTGTCCCTTTCTGATATCTCCCACACATTTCTTCTCCCTTCCCTTATATTCCCCTTCACTATTATTCATATTCCCCAAATGAGTGAGAACATACACTGTTTGTCCTTCTCCGATTGACTTACTTCACTCAGCATAATACCCTCCAGTTCCATCCACGTTGAAGCAAATGGTGGGTATTTGTCATTTCTAATGGCTGAGGAATATTCCATTGTATACATAGACCACATCTTCTTTATCCATTCATCTTTCGATGGGCACCGAGGCTCCTTCCACAGTTTGGCTATTGTGGACATTGCTGCTAGAAACATTGGGGTGCAGGTGTCCCGGCGTTTCATTGCATCTGAATCTTCGGGGTAAATCCCTAACAGTGCAATTGCTGGGTCGTAGGGCAGGTCTATTTTTAATTCTTTGAGGAACCTCCACACAGTTTTCCAGAGTGGCTGCACCAGTTCACATTCCCACCAACAGTGTAAGAGGGTTCCCTTTTCTCCACATCCTCTCCAACATTTGTTGTTTCCTGCCTTATTAATTTTCCCCATTCTCACTGGTGTGAGGTGGTATCTCATTGTGGTTTTGATTTGTATTTCCCTGATGGCAAGTGATGCAGAGCATTTTCTCATGTGCATGTTGGCCATGTCTATGTCTTCCTTTGTGAGATTTCTCTTCATGTCTTTTGCCCATTTCATGATTGGATTGTTTGTTTCTTTGGTGTTAAGTTTAATAAGTTCTTTATAGATTTTGGAAACTAGCCCTTTATCTGATATGTTATTTGCAAATATCTTCTCCCATTCTATAGGTTGTCTTTGAGTTTTGTTGACTGTATCCTTTGCTGTGCAAAAGCTTCTTATCTTGATGAAGTCCCAATAGTTCATTTTTGCTTTTGTTTCTTTTGTTTTCGTGGATGTATCTTGCAAGAAGTTACTGTGGCCAAGTTCAAAAAGGGTGTTGCCTGTGTTCTCCTCTAGGATTTTGATGGAGTCTTGTCTCACATTTAAATCTTTCATCCATTTTGATTTTATCTTTGTGTATGGTGCAAGAGAGTGGTCTAGTTTCATTCTTCTGCATGTGGATGACCAATTTTCCCAGCACCATTTATTGAAGAGACTGTCTTTCTTCCAGTGGATCGTCTTTCCTCCTTTGTCGAATATTAGTTGACCATAAAGTTCAGGGTCCATTTCTGGATTCTCTATTCTGTTCCATTGGTCTATGTGTCTGCTTTTGTGCCAGTACCACACTGTCTTGATGACCACAGCTTTGTAGTAAAACCTGAAATCTGGCATTGTGATGCCCCTAGCTATGGTTTTCTTTTTTAAAATTCCCCTGGCTATTCGGGGTCTTTTCTGATTCCACACAAATCTTAAAATAATTTGTTCTAAGTCTCTGAAAAAAGTCCATGGTATTTTGATAGGGATTGCATTAAACGTGTAAATTGCCCTGGGTAGCATTGACATTTTCACAATATTAATTCTGCCAATCCAGATCAATAGAACCAGGAGTTGGTTCTTTGAAAGAATTAATAAGATAGATAAACCATTAGCCAACCTTATTAAAAAGAAGAGAGAGAAGACTCAAATTAATAAAATCATGAATGAGAAAGGAGAGATCACTACCAACACCAAGGAAATACAAACGATTTTAAAAACATATTATGAACAGCTCTACGCCAATAAATTAGGCAATCTAGAAGAAATGGACGCATTCCTGGAAAGCCACAAACTACCAAAACTGGAGCAGGAAGAAATAGAAAACCTGAACAGGCCAATAACCAGGGAGGAAATTGAAGCAGTCATCAAAAACCTCCCAAGACACAAGAGTCCAGGGCCAGATGGCTTCCCAGGGGAATTCTATCAAACGTTTAAAGAAGAAATCATACCTATTCTACTAAAGCTGTTTGGAAAGATAGAAAGAGATGGAGTACTTCCAAACTCGTTCTATGAGGCCAGCATCACCTTAATTCCAAAACCAGACAAAGACCCCACCAAAAAGGAGAATTACAGACCAATATCCCTGATGAACATGGATGCAAAAATTCTCAACAAGATACTAGCCAATAGGATCCAACAACACATTAAGAAAATTATTCACCATGACCAAGTAGGATTTATCCCCGGGACACAAGGCTGGTTCAACACTCATAAAACAATCAATGTGATTCATCATATCAGCAAGAGAAAAACCAGGATTTGTTTTTTTTTTTTTTGTTTCTTTTTTTAGTTCTAATTTTGGCTGATGCCTCAAAAATCAAAGACAATTTATTTAATACATGTGAAGTACCCTCAGATCCTAAATTAAAGAAGGGATCCACCTATTTAAGGCATATTTAAATGTGAAATGGGTTCTGCTACCTCTGATATGTAAAGGAGTTAGAAATTAAAAAATCCACTTGGGAGAGAGGGTTTCAGATTCCTGGCTTTAGCATTCTTTTTAGAGATGGAGAAGGGTGCTTCCCACCTTTAAAACAAATGCAGGAAGTAATAATACAACCACCTGACAGCTTGCTACGTGTTTCCTAAAGTTCAAGGGACATAGATACTATTTGATTCCTAAAGGGAGAAGTCTTTTTTTTCATTTTATTTTCCTTTCCTTTCTTTTTTTTTATTTTTAATTTTTTTTCCTTTTTATTTAATCAAAGACTGGTGGATAAACATAAATATAGCACAATTACTTCAGACCATTCTTCATATTGTATACACACAGACCAATGAATGTAATCTGAAAGAAACCTGCAGTCGGCAATGAAATGCATACAGCCTTTCCTTCCCTCACTCAAAAAAATTTAAAAATACACAAACTTAGAATCTCATCAGCACACACTCTCTTGTGACAAATGATCCAGACATAAATAGTGGGTACAAAGAAACTATATGCTAACATATGTAAACCTTTGTTAATGAAAACCCCAAAGCAGCCATAAGGATGAAGGTACATTCAGTGACTGGTAAGTTGCTGTGACCCCAAGGGGTGCCATCAACAGAGGTAGTGCTGCAGAGAAAAGCTATGTACACACAAAATGAGAAAATAAACTGCAAGATCAACACATGCATGTTTAATTCTGGAAAAATCAAATTTCTTCACATTTGTTATAAAAGCCCTTTGCACTCAACTAAAACTAAAATGATCTTAAAAGTATAATACTTGTAAAGTTAACTTAAGTCTTTTCAGCCACAGAAACTGCAATGGAAATAAATGTTCAGAGTCATTTTCAAAATAAAAACAAAAATCTATTCTTCTGATGATATGCATGATTAAAAGGTCTTTGCAAGATCCAGTGCTCTACATTCCCAATGACTAGGGGGAAAAAAAAAAAAACTCAAGTCAATTTTTAGTTTGCAGATGGTCAAAGGATTTTGTATTCCAGCAGGAATTCAAATCTTCTGGATCTTTTCATCAACAACTACTGGATTTTCTTTTTTTTATTTTCTCAGCAGCATCAGCTTTGTAATTGTAAGAGCAATTGTGTACATCGGAGTAATGGTGTACACCACAGTAAGCATTTCCACACTGGCATTCAAACCCAGTAAGTCCCACTTTCTTCCTGCACATGAAACAGTGATTCTTTTTTTGTTTTGGTTTTTCAAGAGACTTGCCTTGCCCTTCAGATGGCTGCTGTGCCGTATCTGATACTGAAGCTTGCAGGTCTTCTGTTTCAGGCACTGCTTTGTCCACAGATGTACTGTCCATTTGGGGAGACGCAACAGATTCTGATACAAGTGACTGAGCCGATACAGGGCCTGGCTGCACAGATGCGGACGTGGACTCTAGTGGTAACCTCCCGGGCCCTGCCGGCTGTGCCCTGGACGGCCGAAGATTCAGACCGAGTACTGACCGAGGCTGCAGGTAGGCTTATTCTACTACCATTACTACTATTCTCTTTTTGAAGATGTTCTTTATTGCATACTGAACACATGCTATTTGTACGAGGGTTTCCATAAAACCCGCAGCCAATGGAACAAAGCATAGGCACTTGACTGTGATTAGTTTCTTTCTTTCTTTTTTTTTTTTTTTGGTATATATTTTTATTGGAGTTCAATTTGCCAACATATAGCATAACACCCAGTGCTCATCCCAAGTCAAGTGCCCCCCTCAGTGCCCGTCACACAGTCACCTTATCCCCCCTGCCCCCGCCCACCTCCCCTTCCACTACCCCTTGTTCGTTTCCCAGAGCTAGGAGTCTCTCATGTTCTGTCACCCTCTCTGATATTTCCCACTCATTTTCTCTCCTTTCCCCTTTATTCCCTTTCACTATTTTTTATATTCCCCAAATGAATGAGACCATATAATGTTTGTCCTTCTCCGATTGACTTACTTCACTCAGCATAATACCCTCCAGTTCCATCCACATCGAAGCAAATGGTGGGTATTTGTCGTTTCTAATGGCTGAGGAATATTCCATTGTATACATAGACCACATCTTCTTTATCCATTCATCTTTCGATGGACACCGAGGCTCCTTCCACAGTTTGGCTATTGTGGACATTGCTGCTATAAACATTGGGGTGCAGGTGTCCTGGCATTTCACTGCATCTGTTTCTTTGGGGTAAATCCCCAGAAGTGCAGTTTCTTGAGCCATGTTCCTCGGTCGCACACCTGGCAGCGGCCCTCCCTGCCCACTGAGCTGCCCGCCCTGGGTTGCAGCCAGAGAGTGGGGACAGGAGCGGCTGCCGAACCCTTGCTCACTCTGACCCCCTCATTCTTTCTTTCTTTTTTTTTTTTTAGAAGTCTTACTATAAAGTTGTGGATGAGGCTATCATTTTCTGGCAATGGAGTAAAGAACAGCAGTATAGGGGGGCTATATCTGCATAATATAATACCATAATATAATTAAGTATATTTCTTATGGACTAAACAGAGTGAACAAAGGAATCTACCTAGGATCAGCCTAAGGGAGATCTCACCTTAAAAGTACTGCCTAAAGGTGTAAGAGAGACAGACTTCTGCCAGTCTGAAGAGATAGCAAAAAATTGCCAGCTACAGGTAACCTTGTAAATATCAAGAGGTTATAAATTGATCAGCATTTGAAAAGCAGCGTCTCCCAAATATACCTGTGCCCTTAAGGCCATGCCGACGCTAAAAAAAAATCTCTAACATTCAGTGAGAACATTCAGCATAGCCTTGTCCCCTCCTCCCACCAACTTCCCATTTGTTTCAACCCAGAGGAGCCCAACGTAGCAGGTGTAGAGTTGGGAGAGGAAAAGGAGGAAAGAAGGAAAAAGAAACAGCCTTTCCCAAATGCAAGCTTTATGGCCTAAGGCAGAACTGAGTTGACACTGGGAAGAAACTTTAAACTGAATTTATAAATAAAATTTTAATATTAGATTAAAAGGGTTATTTAGGGACACCTGGGTGGCTCAGTGGTTGAACATCTGCCTTTGGCTCAGGGCATGATCCCTGGAATCCAGGGATCAAGTTCCGCATTGGGCTCCCTGCATGAAGCCTGCCCCTCCCTCTGCCTATGTCTCTGCCTCTCTCTGTGTGTCTCTCATGAATAAATAAATAAAATCTTTTTTTTAAGGGTGTTATTTAATCACTGAAATGAAATCCCACTTGTGATTGACATGGACTACAAAAGCAATGCGACCTGCACAAAATTTCACTCACCCCTATTCCCTCCAAAAAACATCTAGAGTATGGCTTTAAAGGTCCTTGAAAAAATAAAATTAATGCCTATTCACCCTTAACTAAGTCCCACTTATTCAATATGGTTACAAATGTAATGCCTGGAGTGTTACATGAAACAGCTAAGTGAGATTCTAAGGACCTTCTAGGCATGACACTGAAGGGTGATAGGCAGTTAGAAGAACAATACATGTATATTCACAACACATTATGCTAATTCTCAAATTTTCAATAGGGATAGTCTTTAATATGAATTCAAGTAATATCTCTCCATTACAAGAAGTAAGCTAAAAACTGTATCTCTTGACTATTTAGCTATTCATTTCCTGTAATGTCTTCTGCTGTGAGATATGTTACAAAGATCCTTAAATATCACCATAGAATGTTCTACTGTTGTTCTCCACTACCAGCCACCACACGCCTTATGCAATTCTCCATACTATGTATATATTTTTTTCTGATTCATTCACTAACTCTCCTTATTTCTCCTTATTATTACTCTGCTTAGCCTATCTCATTTTGCTTTAGAAACATGCGTATGATTTCCTCCTTTTCCCTCTTTAAATGCTCTTAATAATCCTTTTATTGAATCCTTAATAATCCTTTTGGCTTCAACTCCATACACAATGGACTATCATACTAGGAAAGATTAGATAGATAGATGATAGATAGATAGATAGATAGATAGATAGATAGATAGATAGACTGAAGAACAACCTGAGCATGGTTGAAACAGAGAGATAATTTCTATTGCTAAATTAAAAGATGTTAGGGAGTGCATTGTTCCCATTTGTTTATTTAAAAAAGTATTAATTAAAAAAAGGTATTAATTGATCACCTTCTCTGTGCCAAATGTACAAGGCATAAGGGCTACATGTATAACAAATTAAATGAATAAAGACCCTTCATTAATGGTGATATAGAAGGGAAGGGTAACTCAAATAACTTTCATAAAACAATTAACCACACACACACTCACACACTCACACACACACATAGTAAATGATTATGGCTATAAACGAACATAGCGGTGCTAAAAGACAGGATACCCAGGAGATCTGCGGGGAGTCTCTCTGAGAACTGTTTCAGTTTAAACTTGAAGTACATGTAGGAGAGAAAGGTGAAAAGAAATAGCATTCCAAGAGAATTGATTGTCTGTGTGAAAGCACTTCAGGAAAATAATTAAGAGCTTTAGAAAAATTGTGAGCAAATTGTGGATGAAGCAAGCACAGAAGGGGTGGAGTTAAGCAATATCAGATGATAGCAGATAAAGAGATAAGAGAGGGCCTAATCATTAAAGGTTTTGTGGGTCAGGATAAAGACTCTAAAATTTATGCTAAGTGCAGTAGATGACAAGCATTGAAGGGTTTTAAACTAGTGAGTAAAATGATCAATCAGTGTTACATTTACTGATTTTACCTTAATATCTCTCAAAAAGATTCTCTATTCTCTATTCTTATGGCCATTACTCCCAGAGTTCTAATAAATCCACAAATCCAGGTCCTTATTACTACACACCTGAATTATTATAGGAGACTTTTAAAAGACCTCTCAAATTTAGGTTCCTGTTGAAATACAACTTTGGTCCTCTCTCTCTTTCTTATTCAGTGACTCCTCATTAGCTAACAGATATTACCCTGTTTCTTAGCTGACATTCAAAACTCCCTATTCTTTGTCTCCTGTCTTATTTTATATTAAAACTTAGCAATGAACTCGAACTCCTCCACATTTCCTACACATACTTGCCACTAATCCTTCCCATCATTTTCCCCAACCTGCTTTCTATGCCTTTATTCTCTTTATGTTCAAATTCTCTCAATGCTTAAAAATGTAACCCTAATGCCCCTTCGAATGCCTACAAATCTTCTTTGACCAACTCAAGCTAGATATTGTGTCCCTCCTTCTCCCTTGTTTTATAACTTGATTAATTAGGCAAAAATAGGGGATTCCTGGGTGGCTCAGCAGTTTGGCACCTGCCTTTGACCCAGGGTGTGATTCTGGAGTCCCGGTATCGAGTCCCACGTTGGGCCCTGGCATGGAGCCTGCTTCTCCCTCCTCCTGTGTCTCTGCTTCTCAATCCCTCTCTCTATGTCTACAATGAATGAATGAATGAATGAATGAATGAATAAATAAATAAATAAATAAATAAATAAATAAATCTTTTAAAAAATTAGGCAAAAATATAGACAGAGTTGTCATACAGAAGGCAATCTACTAGGCATTTTTTAAAAAGAGAAGTACAACAAATTTTCTATTAGAGAAAAACATGCTTCTCACCCAAATAAAAAGGTGTATCATGCAGTATTGTAATTTGATAACTACAGTTTTAGGGGTATACAATATTAATGTGAGTTCAAAGGTCAAGCACTAAATAACTAGGCTTTGAAGAAGACAAGAGTTTTTAGACCAAGTGAGGTCAAGGACATTCCAAAGAGGAATGTCTGTTCAAGTCTTACAAGTTTTGGTGTATCCACACCCTGACTTGGGACCTGGGTCTACTTCTTCATATATTCAGCAGCCAGCAGTGTTCTGGCTTGCACAGAGCAAACAATTATCTCTTTGGCGACCAACTTCTTCAACTGCAAGTACTGAAGATTAGAAAGCTCATGGAGTTTTCCCTCTAAGGTCCTATCATATAACCTTAGCAATTTTTACCATCATGGTTCAAAACCAAGTTCATCATTGTCCTCATACAATGGCCCATCACCCACTCTTCCCAAACAGACATATTATTGGGGGAAACTCTTAATCTCTATTCCTGATATTTTCTTCCATGAGCAGGACCAATCGTTAGCATTGCAGCCCTGGCTCCTGTTTGTTACTTCTTTTACTCATCAGATAGGAAGATTGAATTATTAAAGTTGAGTTTAGGAAAAGAAGCCAGAGAAGGATGACTCTGCCCTTCCATCTTTCCTTTTTCTGGAGAATTTAGCTAACTGTAGGAAACATTCATTTTCCTCTATTCCTGTATAGCAAGGGAAACTGTGATGATCATACAGCAGCCCCAGATAGCTGCCTCTGAGTAGGTGAGAAACTGTTCAATTCTGGGATTCTATATTAAGGATCCTACTTTTTAATTTTTTGTTCAATTAATTTCTTCCTTCCTTCCATCCATCCTTCCTTCTTCCTTCCTTCCTTCTTCCTCCCTTCCTCTCTCCCTCCCTTCCTCCCTCCCTCCTCCCTTCTTTCTTCCCTTCTTTTTTTCACTATTGTAATATACTCCAAAGTCAAAAAAGCATTTCATTAATGTGTCTTTCAACTCTCACTAACATACACAGTGGCTGTTTTAACTGAAATGAGTAACCACTCCCTGTGCAACAAATTATTAGTAAGATAATGTCC